CCTTGCCCCACGACCCCACCGCCTGGGGCCTGGCCCTGACCCCGGGCCCTGTTCCCCCACGAGGTGGCCTGGGACTGGGGCTCTCCTTGCAGCCACTGCTCATCCCGTGCTGGGCACCGGCTCCTCCTGGGCCTCAGAGCCTGGTGTCCTCGGCTAGGCCCTATGGGCCCTGCCCAGCTCTTCTCAGAGGTGGCTACGTCCCCTGCCTGCTGTCTGGTGCCCACGGGCAGGGCACAGTGGATGGTGGGTTAGGGATTCTGCCTCCTGCCACTCAGGGAGGGAAAGCTTCTGCCTCACAGTCTTGGAGGGAGCCGCTGACAGTTCCAGTGGGCTCTGTTGACTGACCTCAGGCATAGTTATAGACAGTCCTGCCTGTTTACTGCAAGAATGTTGTCAAGAGCCGATTGATCGATATTTGGATTTTGAAAGTTGTAACTGTTTCCTGACCCTATGTGTTGGCATTGCAACCATGAAACCTAAAATAGTTAACATGGAACACAATGTACATTAGCTGGAGGAGGAAAGAAACATGAACTACTTTTAAAAAAAAAAATAAGCCCTCTTTTGTTTTGGTACCGGGGCTGGAACACAGGACCTTGCACTTGCCAGGCAGGCACAGTGCCACTGAGCTACATCCCTAGCCCTCATGGACTGCTTTTAAAAGACTAAGTCTGTGCCCCCAAATCAGGGCCAGAGCTCCCCTTTAACCTCGGAACCGGTCTCTCCATCCTTTAGGGCCCACACTGGCTCCTCTTCTTTTTCTTTGTCTTTTCCTAATGTGAGGGTCTGGCGGTCTTGCACAGGCGGGCCTCGAACCCCTGGGCTCAAGCCATCTCCCTGTGTCAGCCTTCCGTGCGACCGGGACCACAGGCATGTACTGGCCTGGATTCTTTCCCACATCAACTCTGGATTGCTTTGAACCCCAGCGCTATTACGTGAAGCTGGCACAACGCTGGGCTCACCTGTGCGTGTCCGGAGTCACAGTGAAAGTCCTAAGGGCCATTCTGTGTTGCCATCACTTTCAGTGAGTTACTGAGTGATGTGGACCCGAGGCAGCGCCAAGTGAGGATGCGGTGGGCCTTGGACGGCTCGGAAGCCGGGTGATTGCACCTCCCAAGGGAGTGTGGCGCCCCTCTACAGGGTCCTGGGCCAGGGCTTCCAGCCTGAGAAGAACAAAGTGCCGATCCAGGAGCTGTTGCCTTGGTGACTGGGAACACATGGTGTCTGTGTGTGAGTGTGAGAGTTGCCATGGGCTGGTGAAACACGCATGTGCACTGGTCTCCTCCAGCCTGTATGCCTGTCTGGCAGCAGGACAGCCTTTCCAGCAGGGGTCCCAAATGCCTGATCCTTCAGGGAGGTTCCTCAGCCTCTCTGGGCAGCGCAGTCTCCATTCCTTCTGAGGTCAAGGACTGAGCCAAGCAGCCCTCGCGTGGGCGCAGCTGCTGTCAGTTCCTGGGCCTGCAGAGCCCGTCATCCAGGAGAGCCATGCACCCCTGGGTCTTGGCCGCTGTGGATGTCGGTCACCTACTTCCCGCCTGGACTTTGCCTGTGAGTGTGGCGCCAGGGTGCTGAGGACACTGGGTGGCCCTGGGGGTGACGGAAGCCAGATGCTCCCCTGCTGTTCAGAGCAGTGCTTTTCTGATGGTGAGGACGGGTGGAAGGAGCCGGCCTCTGTCTGTGCTACCCTTTTCCCTCCCCTCGCTCCCCAGAGCCCTGCTACTGCTCTTCCTGCGGCTGAATGCCCCCCTTGAGCCCCTTGAACCCAGGTCACTTTCTCACCCCACTCACGGCCTCCGTCCCAACTCTGCTCCCTTCCCTGAAACATCTGGCCCTTCTCTGCCACCTCCCTGCTTTGCAGCCTCGCCTTCAAATCTCACTCCGGGCTCTCCCGATCCAGGTGGAGGCGGATACATTTTTGCTGAACGAGTTCTACATTGTACTGTAGGCGGGCAGGTGGGCAGCATGTTTTTCTGCCAGTTCTTCAAAGGAAAGAGTTTCTTGTTCCTCTTTCTTATTCAGAAAGTGATCCTGAAGCATACACCTGTAATTCCAGCTACTCAGGAGGCTGAGGCAGCAGGATCACAAATTTCAGCCCAGCCTGGGCAATTTAGTAATTTAGTGAGACTCTGTGACAAAATAATATAAAATAAAATAAAAGGCCTAGATTCCATTCTGATACCACCAAAAAAAGAAAAAAAGAAAAAAAAAATCCTGCTGAGCCTCTGGTCTGTTTTTGGAGCTTGTCTCCCCTAGTTGGCAGAATTCAGTTAAGCTTTTAGACCTGACTGCTATTAGGCTGGAACTTAAGACAACGAAGCCACAGCATCTGATAACCACTGCTTCTGGTGTCACCAAAGTAGGTTTCTCTGTCACAGAAGGACACTCAGTCGGTCTGGCAGTTCAGCCCTCGTCCGGTCAGTATGCTGGGCTGTGTTCTTTCTGTGGTCCAGGTACCACGCCTTCGGCTTTGGAGCCAGAAGATCATGGACTGAAATGTGAACCAGAACTGACCTCTCCTCCTTTAGAGGGTGGATGTCAGCACCTGGAATCCTTTCCCCCACCTAGCCTGGAGCAGGGGAGTTGAGAAGGACGCGTGTCTGGTGGCTCGGCTCAGAGCCAGGGCACAGGACGGCAAGCCCGGCACGGGCCGTCTCAGACAATAGAAGAAGTAGGGCTGCTCGACGGCGCTGACCCGGGGCCTCGAGGACGGTGTCACTGTGAGGCATGGTCCTCCTTGCTCACCAGCCTGTCCAGCAGTACCAGTGACTCAGAAACAGTGACGCGGTGGGCAGAGGGCGTGGTGACCACAGGCTCGGTGCAGGGATCCTGCCTGCTTCTCAGGGACGGCCACGGCCATGTGGGACTGAAGGTGGGAGGAGCCAAGCAGCCCCCTCGCAGGCAGCCACACAGCGCTGACCACTCCAAGGCGGCCGAGTCCTTAGCCACAGGGCCGTACCGTCCTGAGCAGAGCAGCAGGGAGCTGCAAGGAATCCAGGCTGTGAGGCCCACAGCTGTGCATGACTGTGGGAAGCCCTGAATCTTCTGGGTGGTCCCTGGGTATGAACACTTCAAGTTGCCAGGCAGAGCTTGGACAGCAAGGCTAAGAGGAACGAGCCCAAGGCATGGCCAGTAGCCTCAGTTTTTCCTAACATCACAGAAATGCCCATGAAGCTGGGCGTGGTGGCACATGCCTATAATTCCGACATTCAGGAGGCTGAGGCAGGAGGATCACCAGGAGTTCAAGGTCACCCTGGGCTACCTGGTGAAAGATCAGCCTAAGCTCAGTCTATGTAGTGAGACCCTGTCTCAAGAAAATGAAGAAGGAAAGGAAAGGAAAGCAAAACAAAGGACAGGACTTGAGGCCATGTCAGCGCTGCCTTAGGCACTGTTGCCTCTGCCTGCTGCTGTGTCCAATGCTGTAAGGATTGCACGTGGTAAAGGAAACCAGAACACAGCTCCTCCTAAAGCGGCCCCTTGGGTGCTGCAGTCTGGTGCTTCTCCAGCAGCCCCCGGGGCCCTCTTGGAAGATGTCACTGGGCTCCAGGTGCCACAGAGCTGCAGACTGCATCCTTCGCCTGGAAGCTCAAGTAGGAGGCTCCTACACCAAGGCCTTGGTGTCACCCAAAAGCCCAGGTGGATGGCATGTGGGGGCACAGGATGAGGGACACTGCCCTGGATCTAGAAATAAGAAACTGGGGCTGGTTCTGACACCTGCCTTGCAAGCGCAAGGACCTGAGTTCGATCCCCAGTACCAAAAAAAAGATAACTAGAAATGAACCAAATTTTTAACCTCACAGAAAACCAGTTTTCTCTGGAAAAACAATGGCAGGCAGCTAAAACCAAGTCCTACAAACGGCATGGCTAATACTGCTTGTCCTGCTCTGCAGGCTGGACGCTCCAGGTCAGGGTGTTGGCGGGGCTGGGCCCTCTGAGGCTGAGGGGGGACCCTGTCACCCGAGCTCGTCCGGCTTCTGAGGGCTGCAGTCCTCTTTGGTGCTGCTCGGCCTTTGGAGGACCACTCGGCCCTGCCCAAGCCTTTGCTCAGGAGGCCTCCCTGAGCGTTTGTCTCGGGCTCTGGTCCTGTGGCTGAGGACCTGCTGCATTGACCTGGCTGTGGGTTACCCGGAGAGGCCACATTCTGATGCTTCGGGGTTAGGACTACAGCAGGTGACTACAGCCGAACTGCCCCACAGCGTTCTAAAGGAGCTTCATCTCCATGAGGTGTGTGCTTGATGTGGGCGCGGGAGGATATGGGGCGCGGGCGGAAGCCAGGGCTCCTGGTAGCTGAGCTGGAAGGGGCTCCGCCCAATCCGGCCACAGGCTCAGGTCTCCCGATGTCTTGGTCAGTCTCGTCCCTGCAACACAATACCTGGCACCCATGACCAGGGCAGGTTTATTTTGGCTCCTAGTTCAGAAGTTTCGGTCTGTGTTCAGCAACTTAAACACAGAAATGGACTGGCAAGGGCCTGGCGGGGGGAAGCTGCTCACATCCCGGTGGCCG